CGTCTCTCTTGCAATTCAGCAGGTGTCATCCGCTGAACTAGAAGCATAGGACCGTTGTTGGTCGCCTCCTTGCTAGTTGTGATGGACTCCTTCGCATTGGACGTTGGAACATCTCGCCGCTGCAAGAAATTGCGGGCCTCATACAAACGGGCAAGTCCGATAGCTGCTGATAAGGTCAAAGGGCACCCTGCTAACACGTCTGCCTTGATGTTGTCCCTTAATCCGCTGATGAAACAACTGACTTGACAGTTAGGAGAAAGATACCCCACCTTAGTGAGCAACCTTTCAAATTGAGTTTAGTAGTCGAGAACAGTTCTAATTTGTTGCAACTTAGCTAACTCACCAAAGAAATCTTGGAATTGGGTGGGACCATACCTAGTGGGCAACCCATCACAAAATGTCTGCCAGGTCATTTCGCTTCCTTTTTGTTTGAATAGTTGGTACCACAGCTAAGCGTCACCCTCCAAATAGAAGAACACAAGAGCCACATGTTCCTCCTCTAGTGTTTGATGGAACTAGAAAAACTGCTCCACCCTGCAAGTCCAACTCATCGTGTCTTCTTCATCATTAAAGTGGGGAAAATCTAGTTTAACAAGCTTTGGAACAAATGACTGTTGCGGTCCATTTTGACAGTTTCCATTGGTGTTCCCAGATCGTACTCCATGGTTCTGGAGTGGAACCCTTGAGTTCTCCCCTACTTCAAGTTCAACATTAGTTGGACATGAACTAAGCTTTTCAAACAACTCGTTAAGCTTGTCCATTATCTGTTGCTGTCCAACATTGGAGAGCTCACATCATCTTCCAACTTCTCCACTCGATGATCCATGCCTTTGCTCTGATACCACAATGGCACGTACTGAGGAGAGTTCTTCTTGTTCTTCAATGTACCTATCTTGCTAATGCAGCAGAAAACAAGAACAGCTAATGAGTAGTGAGTAAAATAGGTTTACTGGAGGAAACCTGACATCGTTAACACACAAGTGTTGATTGGTTTAATGGAGAAAACCTAGCCTTGTTAACACGCAAGTGTTGGTTGGATTTTAAAAGCTTCCACTCCCGAAAGATTAATTCTCACTAAATATTCAAGTCACGTTGATTACAAGAAAATAGCCAAAAGATCAGCTTCTACTAACTAGTCATGTAATCTACCCAATAAACCCAAAAAAATAGCCAAAATATCCGCTTCTATTAACTGCTCATGTAAATCTACCAAAAGACTTGATCAACCCGATATACACAACTTCATTACCTACTCTTACACGACACTGCAGGAGATATACATACCCATGCCTGCCTTATTTACCATGCTTATCATTATATAAGACGAGCTACATGTTGGCATGTAACAAACTATAAAACCTTCTTGTAAATTTTTTGGTAAGAATTTTGTTCTGTTTTTCCTGGTTGGAAATGATGTTTTTTATAAGATTCTTCAAAAAAGCAATTGGAGATTTAATGGTAGATTGTTGACTATTCAGTATTGTAGCAAATCGATTAAATTTTCGAAAATTTTACCATAAAAGATTTGGATCAGAATTGAAGGTTTGCCTATTCATGTATGGAATTTTTACGTGTTTAAATCCATTGCAGCACAGTATGATAAATTTATTGAAATTGATTGGGATTTGATTATTGGAACAAAGATTAGTATCATTCCTATCAGAATTGAAAAAAAAAATCGGTATGGAAATTCCTGATAAGATTATTGTTAAAGCTGAAAATTTTGAGTTCAAGCTATCCATTCGTGTAATAAGGATAAAATCAAAAGATAAGGATGAGGAGCTAGTTAGTAATGTTGGTAAAAAAATTAATTAAAAAATGGACAATGGTAAAGAATAGAAAATGGAGAAAGCACAAGGTCCACCAATGGAGGAATAAGGATGAACAAAGAAGAATGACGTATCAGAGAGACAGATGGAGTGAATCGTTGGGACAAGCGGCCAAATAGAAGATCTAACATATACATAAAAGGGTGTCAGACAACAAACTAGTTTTCGAATTGGGGGAGTTGGTATTTTGGGTGATAAAAAGAAGTGAATAGCAAAATAGCAAATTGGTCAGCAATTTATCTCGAATCGAATGGCTATAATGAACACACCTAATGAAAACATTGGGGAGGCTTTAAACAAGCGTGATAAGAGTGATTCAAACATGGGCCAGTTAAGGGGGAGGGCAAAATGAGGATAGAACCTTAATGGTTTGGAATGAAGACCCAAAGATGATTGCAAGATTTATGATGACAAGAAATTTTAGACAAGTAGAAGATTTGAAGACATTGGAAAATGAGAAAGCAATATGTAGGATGATAATGGCTAGGGAAGGTAGTTATGATTTTGGTCAAATAGAGAGAAGGAAGACCATACAAGGATGGATGTTGTTTGAATAGGAAGGAATAGTAAACCAGGCAAGGCTGTGGGAAAGAGAGGGAGACATGAGAAGAAATCTTAGATTGCTCCCCTCTCGAAAGGTTGTAATTGTGGGAAAGTTTAAACCCCCGAATACATTTGATGGGAGTGACTGGCCCAAAGAATTGGTGGTTATTATAGATGATGACGATGAAGAAACGAATTAGATAACAAGCATGGGTGGCTTACATACTACAATGGGAGAATCCTAAAATGCTAATCAATGGAGCAAGGAAGATATAGTTGAAAATGTGGTCTCTCCGCATGTGTCGCCTGCTATCAGTGAAGATTAAATAGAGCATGATCAAGTGGTGTTAATTTTAGAAGGAATGAAGGTAAAGTATCCTGGTAAAGTGAAAATGAGCAGCTATGAATGAACATTTTAGGTGAAAAATATGGTATTGATAAAGAACTTGGAATTATTGCAAAGGATAATAATAAAAAAGGAATTACATCTATATGGAAAGGGATTGTAGCTCATCGTAGATTCATTATTAGTTATATAAGAATGGTGTTGGGGAAATGAGATAATAACAAATTTTGGCAACAAACTTGGATTGGAAATTGTCTTTTAAAAATTCAATTTCCCAATCTTTTTGTTAAGGGAAACTCAAAAAAGTAAGAAGATCAGTGAAATTGTGAGAGGAAGAGGCGATGGTGCAATCTGGGATATTCAATGTCCTTATAGAAGAGTAAGTAGTGTTGTGGCAAAGGAGATTGTGCAATATTTGATAATACTACAACAGTATTTTTACTGCCCTGATGAAGATGATAAGTATGTATGGACCCCAAATAATTCATGAGGTTTTTCTGTTAAATTTGCATAAAAACTGATATGCTATGATAGAGTTAGATGGGTGGATAAAAGCTTAGTTAAGATCTGGAGATGGCAAATCCCTCTTAAAGTTTGTGCTTTTGTCTGGTTACTTACACAAAAGAAGTTGCTAACTATTGATATGTTGAGAATAAGAGGTAAAGTGCTTCCTAATGTATGCTTGCTCTGCAAAAATGGTGAAGAGTCGGTTGATCTTCTACTTTTAACTGTAATTTTGGGAGAAGTATTTGGAATTGGGTCTCAAACTGGTTGGGTTTGCAAGTGAACGTTATTTCAGAGGCAAATAGATTCATTGATAATTGGAAACTTACAAATGTGGGAAAAAAAGGTAAAAAGATTTGGAAAGTAGTAAAATCTGCTACTGTTTGGGAGATATGGAAGGAAAGAAACAAACGATGTTTTGAAAACCAAAGCAAATCAGTTAATGATTTGTAAGAAAAGATTAGAATAACTATTGCAAAATGGCTATCTGTTGTAAAGGAGTGGTGGGGGGCACCTCGTGTGGATTTGATGTATAAGCAGAATATTCTGGTAAAAGAAAGAAGTATCAGAGAAGTTCGGATAGGAATTTGGAGAAACCAAAATCAAGGTGTATTAAAGTAAATTTTGATGGAAGTTCAATGGGAGACCCAAGCCCTACGGGGATTGGAGGTATTGTTCATGATGGTAGAGGGAATGTATTGCTAAAATATTTTGGACATGTTGGGAATATTACAGCAAATGTAGCAGAAATGATATCTTGTTTGCAAAGTGTTAACCTATGATGATGGAAGGAGACTCACTAAATGAATAAAGTGGATAAAGAAAGAAGCTGAATTTTCTTGGTCATTGCATGGATTAGTGAGAGAAGTAAGGGTGGAATGCAATGAAGTGAATGTTAAGTTTGATCATATTTTTAGAGAAACAAATATAGAGGTTGATCGTCTTGCCAAAAAAGTTGTATCTTTAGCAAATCTAAGTGTTGTTATTTTGTAAGTCTGTTTTTTTGCAGTTGGTTTCTTTTTTGTTTTTTGTTCTTGTTTTTTTGGTTTTAACTGCTTGTTCTAGGCCTGTGTGGCTGTTGTTCTGAGCCTGTGTGGCTCTATAAAACTGTTAGCCCGTGTGAATTTGCTATGAATGAATGAACGGTGACTAATTCTCAAAAACCACCACGACCCAGCCTGTATTTAAAAATCAAAATCAATTTCTGTTGCAAGTGATTCTAAGTGGATTTCAAAAGTTTAGACTTTAGACTAATAAAAATATTCTGAACCACGTCATTTAGCTGAGGAAGTAAATGTATAACATGCTCATGGGCAAGTGGTACCTACGTAAGGGTAACAATAGGTTGGGTTGGGTCGGGTCTGGCGGCCAAAATCAAACCCGACCAAAAAAATTAAAATATTTATATATTTAACTATATTATGATATATATCATATATTGGGACCCCAAAAATATTATTATACCCAAACTCAACCCGTGAGGTCCAATTTTCGATACCTATATGGGTCTACCCTTTGGGTCCTTGGTCGGATCCGGGTCCATTGCGACCGCTAATATTCATGCTCTAATTCACGTAAAACGTGGAGTATACATCTTTACGTTTAATGCTGAATTTCTGAAATAAATACGGTTTTGAAATTTGAACACTACTTTCCCCGTTTTGATGGGGGTAGAAAAATCTAGGGAAGTTGAGACTTAGAAGTCAAATAAGAAAAAGAATGGTACTTTTTGGTCATTTTCCGAAGTCGAAATCTGATTAACTATCGCAACTCCCGGCACCTGCAAACGTACCCATCAAAAACGCATTCACCCTGTCTCTCTCTCTCTCTCTCTCTCTCTTCGGCACAAAGAGGAAAGGATTTCTTGACATCTCTGCAACAACATGAGAGTTAATATGCAAAGACACTTCTATTTTCGGAAGTTATGTTTCGTGGCTCTGGTGATCGCTGCTCATTTCTTCACCACAACGGAAGCTCTTTGCCTCGATGGCAACTGCAAGGTCACCCCCTCTCTCTCTCTCTCATAAGCAAATGATGAATGAATGAAGATTATTGTCCTCTCTCTCTCTATATCTCTCTATCTCGTTCATAAGCAAATGATTAATGAATGAAGCTTATTGTCCTCTATTTGCCTTTTTAATAGTAATTTCAAAATCTCAAGATTTTTCATATTTCAAACCTTTTCAAGTCCTCGTCGTTTCCATAATGGATCTGAATTTTGCAATTTCCTGGTAATGTATCTACTCAAATGAAAAATATGTGAAGAATGCACAAAAAAATAAAAAAGAAAGTGAAGAATGGAGATCCTTTAAAAGCTACTTCTTTCTGATCTGAAATCCTTTGTATAGGAGCTTTAATGGAACCTTTTGAAAATTTCTATCTTTTTTTCGCTTTTGCTAGCAAAGAAGAAAAAAAAGATAAAAATTCTAGCAATTTCAACCGAAACAGGAAATTTTTTTCTTTTAGGAATATTTTTTTTGTTTCTAAATCTGATATTTCGTGATTTCTGGTAAAGCAGAGGAAGCCGCAGTTTGGTTGCCAGCTGAGACTGAAATTTTCGTCGCATTTTCGGATTTCGTCGTATTACGCGGATTGATAACTACTTTTCTTTTTTCAAGCTATAGCCGATCCCTTTCGGCGTATTTGAAATTTAAAAGTTCGAAAAGTTTGAATTAAATTGAAGAAAAGTTTGCCCTTTTCTCTTCTGCAACCAGTCCTAATTTCTTATTTCTTATTCTCATTGAAAACACGAAGAAAAAACAGGAATAAAATTTATATAAGGTGTGAACCTACTGTACGAGTTTGGTGCATCTAAAACCCCTTATAAAAGGTGCACCTAAAAACCCATTAGAAAAGGTTGTTCCCACGCTAAAAAACCCTCCAATCTTATAAATACGAAAATATGGGATTTCTAATCCTAAAAATAGTTTGTCTTCTAATACATTTTATTAACGGTCTATTTTCATGATTTTCTAACTGTTTATAGATGGCTTTGGGCACCAAAACTGCATTTTTAATGTAGTTTTAGTATAAAGTTGGCGGCTTAAACAAACCTCACCCTCTAGAAAAAGCTTGATTACTTGAAGATGTTTTAGAATCTTGTCCGCCCATCACGTCAAATGATCCTGACCGTTCATTCCAATGTGTCATGTCATTGCCAACCGTTCGTCCGTACGACCTTATATTGTTTTAAGATCTGCCGTAGATTTTGTGAAGGAACCGATTTCATAAATCGGAACCGTATGCTTGAACGAGTCCATGAAAATTCCGACTTCGAATGAGTCCACCAATCCGCCCCTAGTTTGTACATGCCAAATGGTATTTTACTCCCGCCCGAGTCGAATGTCTATTTACTCACCTCTCTTAGAATTAATGTTAAGACTCTAGATTATCGGTACGTATTCTATTCAACCTATTATATTAACCTCAATAAAAAAAAATTTCTAATTGTACCCTCTACACACGAAAAGAAAATTAGTATCTCGAGATCGAATAGAAACCTCAATTTTTAAAGAGCAATGATCCTATGAGACCCTCACACACCTATGTATGTGTAGGACCCCAAATAATCACTATTAAATTTGACACAGATATTTAGAAAAATCAAGTTTCACACTAATGTGATAACGTTTTTAGATATCTATGCCAACTTTAATGGTGATCCTTTGGGTCTTACACACATGGGTGTGGGAGAGTCTCGTAGGATCATTACTCATTTTTAAATGATGAGCTCTAATTGTGAAACTTCATTTTTTAATTTTTCTTTTGAGAATAATCATTTAGTAATTCTTAATAAAAAGTATACAAGAGGACGACTTACTTTTAATACAAGGAGGCCACAATTATTTTGTCCATCAAACTTGGGTGGTTATATGGGTCTAAGGACTAGACTCAAAGTTCAAGAAAAAAAGTTTAAACTTCGTGTCACACTTTAAGACATCAAATTTAACATCTTAAGAGTGATTATGACTTTGTAGTAATAATAAATGGCCTCATGCTATACAATCTCAATTCTTAATTGGTTCTCGGATTGAAACAATCCTCCCAAGTTTGACTGCCTTGTACCAAAGATAAATAGTTCTATTGTAAACTTTTCCATTTATATATATTAGGAATTTTAAGGTGGACAGTTGTAATTTTTCGATTCTTTGTACGTGTTAGACCTCTTTTACCTTCTAAATTGGAAAAATTATTGAATTAAATATTTTACCACTTTACTTATATCTTTTAATATAAGTTCAAAATACCCATAAAATATTTGGTTGCTTAGTGACTTAACTCCTTTTACCTTTCTAAATTATAAAATTTGTCTAATTACTTATAAGAGATAACAACTTACCAAATCATTGATATCTTCGGATTTAATTTCAAATAGCCATAAAAAAAAAATACATGATCTTGAGTTAAAAATAGCAGCAAATGGATATGATGCTAAATAGTTTGTTTCATGGACATCTTGATAAATTTCTCTTTTACATTTCAAGCTTTGAAGAGATGTTTTTTTTTTTTTATACATCCACAAGATTCTTAATTGATTGATAGTAAACAGGGCTCCACCTTGTCCTAGAAAAATCATATAGGAATCCACCCATTTTCTTCATATTTTGAGTGGACTACTAAAAGTAGTATTTGGTCATCGTGCCAACTCATGACCTTCGTCCTTGTTATGATAGATTTAGGACTTAGAAAACATCTCAAATTACCAAAAATCTACTTAGCCTTATAATTCATAAATTTGGAGCTCTAGTAACGGTTAGATAATTTTGAAGAACTAAAATAAACGTCAAAAAATTACAAAAAGAATTGTAAGCTTTAAAATGACAAAGTAGATTATTTTAAGGCTTAGTTTTTTATTTTATTTTTAAATTCATTGTTATGATAGTCCATTTAGAAACATGGGAAAGGTTTCTATGCTTTCCTACAGCATAGAAGTTTTATCCTTTCGTTACCCTCCAGCCATCCAATTTTGATCAAGAGAGCCACTCACCGTTTGATTTTAGATCCGACGTCTCAAAGTATTTTATTTTTAGTTTTTTTTTATATAAATTGTTTGAGTATGAAATTTAGTACGTGTCATCTTCTCATTGGGGCACACATATAAAAAATATTAAAAATAATTTTCGATAAAATATAATGATCAAAATACCCCTTGAAAATTTCAAGGGTATTTTGATCATTTTATTTTACTTAAATTTTTTTTTTTTTTTTTTTTTTTTGCTAGTACGAGTTTAATAGTAGAATGGATGTTCAAAATTTGATGTCAAAATAGTTTATAGAAAAAAATTAAAAATAAAATAATGTAGAGACGTGACATTGTGATTGGGACAATCTTAGCCCTCTATTCCAACAGTTGGATAAGGGGATAATAGAACTTCCAGGAGAGCACAAAAAGCTTGCCCTTAGAACAGTGGCCAAACTTATCCCCATTAAAACGTGCTAAATGTTTTTCTACTTTTCTTTGATAGTAGGTCAAGCTGGAATCGGAAAGGAGTTAGTTTGGCTTCCCATGTTTTTCTATTAATCAATTCAACTTATCAAGAAAAAATGGGTTGCAAATAGAAAACTGCCTTTTTATTTTATTTTATTTATTTTTATTTTTAATCACTATTTTGGATTATTCACATTCAATCTGAACCGTCGATCCAACGATTCAACATGGATCTATGAGTGAACCATCCACTCCACCTATCCGGTTTGAAAGACTGGCTGGATTATTGAAAATGTAGGTCGCCAAACTAGTCCATGTGCTACAATCGATCCTTTTTTTTTAAATAGCATTTCTTGTTTGGCTTGATTGAATATTGAATAATAATAATGAAATGGTCAAGAACAGGTGGGGGACATGTGCGTGAAGGATAGCAATTGTGCTCAAGGCCTTCACTGCGAGACTTGTCTTGCCAATGGTCATGTGGCACCTAGATGCACCCGGATACAACCTTCTAATCCCCTAAACAAGGTAGGTAATACTGCAAATTATTTCTTAACTTTATTGTATTTATATGTTTACATGCTTGAGTATGTTTATGTATATTTATTTTTGGAAAAATTGCATAAGACTCATCAAAATATAATTTCTAATCAATTTATCCCACCTAACTTTTTCGAGCAACTTCTCTCTAAAAATCATGTTTCCTAGCAAATACTCCTAATACAAAAAGTTCGTACAAAAAATTCAATTTTTAACAAAAGTACCATTTTTGTTCATAACAAATCATTTCATATCCCAATAAAAGAAAAGCACTTGTACAATTTCAACTGCTCATTTCAAAACCACCTAGGGCCACTTCAAAAGAGCCATACTAGTCATTTCAAAATACAATATCGCTGCCCATTCAAAATGGCGGATTGCTTTTTTAAAACGCCGGACTGCCCATTTCTCCAATAGCACATAATCCCGGACCGCCACAATGAAAGACTGCTTTTTTAAAACGCCGGACTGCCTATTTCTCCAATAGCACATAAGCCGGATTGCCCATTTCTCCAATAGCACATAATCCCAAACCACCACAATGAAAACCGGACTGTCCATTTCAATAAAATAATCGCCAGCCGGACCGCCCATTTCAATAAAATAATCGCCGGACCGCCATTTCAATAAAATAATAGTCGGACCGCCTATCCTCTCCCGTGAAAATGATCCCTTATGTAAAGGAAGGGTATAACTTTTTGTATTAGGGTATTTGCTCATAAACATTTTTTTCATATTTTATTATCTCATAAATATGAGTCAAAGATATGCGAATATATCCATTTCATGTCCAAAAATAGATCTTTTATTTGTTGGGCACCCTGTGATTTTCTCTTTTAGAAATAAAAAAATTACCCTTGTCTTTGCTTATGTCTTGGATCGGAACAAATTACTATAATTCGTCCTCGCCTACGAATTAGTTGACATTTTTCACGAATCTTACGAACAAAAGCTCTTATTTTCATATGTATTACTCCTTACTTAATTGGTTTTTAGAGAGGAAGTTGCTAGAAAAAAAAAGGGTTTATACAATTTTCCCTTTATTCTTCTCCTTTTTATATCATTGTCCTTTATATCATTTTAGGGAAGTATTCGACAACACAACAACCAATTGTGTGGCTTTCTAAAAGCCAAAAGCTATCCATGTGTTGGGCCCATTGATTGCTTGAACATGTTGCAATACAACAATAAGTGATCGTCCAACAACTGAAAGTCGCTTAGGCAATTTTGATACCTAGAACCCCAAAATTGCACTTTATCAACTCCTATATTAAATTTGTGGGAAAGTTACGTATATATCTGTTATAGTTTGCTTTATTACAAAATTACCAAATAGTTTATGTTATTATTTATATTTTATTTCATAATGAAAATTTAAAAAAAATATATAATTTTACCTTTTTTCTGTTATTCAACAACATAATTTAATGGATTTTCGATTGTTAAAAAATAATTGATTTTCTGTCCGTTTTTTTTTTTCATGTCATAATTTTTAAAAAAATACAATTTTACCTTTTTTTGAACAGCATAATTTAATGGATTTCCGATTGTTCAACAACGGAAATCGGAAATCAAGCTAATTTCGATTTTTGAAAAACTGAAAATTCAAATTTTCTGTGGTTGAAGAACCTAAATTTTTGGTTCTTCAAGAACCAAAATTTTTCTCTCTCGTACGTCCTCTACGTATTCTCTCTTTATGGATTTTTTTTCTCTCTCTCGTACATCCTCTTCATATTCTCTCTTTATGGATTTTTCCTTTTTCAGTGGTTGATAAACCGAATTCAATGGGTTTTCAACAACCGATATCAAGCCAAATTAACTAGATAAACATATGGAAGAGTTTAAACCCACCTATGTAATAGATAAACATAGGGGGAGAGAATGGATAAACATAGGAAAGAGTTAAATGGAAAAGACGGGTAAAGGGTATAAAAAGAGAATTTGGTTGTTCAAAATTTGAATTTAAAAAAATTTGATTAGTCGATTGAGAGAGAATAAATTTTTGTTTCTTGATTGGGGTGATTTATTGTTGTTGAACAACACAAAATCTATTGAATTTGATTGTTCAACAACCGAAAAACGGTAAAATTGTCCTCTTCTTTTTCTTTTTCTTTTTTTATGCTATAAAATAACAAACAAATAGGTAATAACAAAAACTATTCGATAATTTTGTAATAATGTAAACTATAATGGATATGTACGTCATTTTTCTTAAATTTATTTATTAAATGCAACTCGATTGGTTCTAGAATTGCCCAAATCGAATAAGTCTAGTTAGAAATGTACCCTAGCTAGTTGGGGCCTATATCTTGTTTTGAAACACTATTATACATTATGCAGTACAAACTGTTGACATTATTCACTGGAAAAAGTCTATATAAGGTTGATACCATATATTATAGAATTAAGGTACACATCAAAACTTCATCTTGATGTTAAACTATATAATAATTATTTTGAAAAACTATCTAATTGATCATTTCAACATCAAGATTTTTGGATATGGGAAAAAAATAAGATTTTGAAAATAGTACTTCTTACAACATATTATCTGAACCTTCTATTTTTAAAATTTTCGTGTGTTTATAGATTTGCACTATTTTTTAAGCTTAAAATTTTATAATTAGATATAAAAATAGATTCTCAAACCATCCTAAAATTTTTGACACCAAAATTGTACTTTATGACAAAGTTTGGAAATGCGCCTTATTTTGACCATTTAAAATTGCAACCTTATACAAACCACACCCTTATTTATGTGCTACCCGTTAGTTGTAGACGGACCATGTAGAAAATTGTCATTAGAGTTGTCCCGTGAATTATAGTTTTGGGGAAGAGAGGGTCGCACCCTCTTCCATCACCCATCCAATGCATTGATTGGATGACAATGTGCCTCATGACCACATAAATATTTATCAAAGAAAGCCACATACGTCTCTCTTATGTAACTATTCCCGTTCCTTGTGTATCTTCTATAAATGTAAGTTAACATTTGGCCTTACGCCACTTTAGATTGCGTGTCTACTCTTTCTTAGATAGACCATCATCCAATCTCAACTACTACACAAGGCCTCTTGTTTTAGGTTTATTCGGAATTACGCAATCGTTGAGGAAAAAGTGTATTCATGATTCCTATAACCATGGCAAATTGCTGTACATTAACAAAGAAGAAAAAGATAAAGAGGCCATCGGAACTCCTTTCTTGGTTAAATCATGGTAATAGAGTTTGCTTCCCTATAAACATGATGAAAAGTAACAGTAATACCAGAAGATAACTCAATCAACTTGTAATAAGGTTAAAAACCGTCAAGGAGGTCTTAAAAAACCTTTACACCAATTAATGACATTGTGAAGGTCTCCTTCAATGATCAGATTTTGCTTCATACCTCTTTCCCTATAGATCCACATTCCTTGTAGTAAATATTCAAATTTCACATGATTAAGCAGTAACCACCCCCACAACGCCTAGCATAGCAAAAAATTATCTAACCTTCGTGGTTTCTACATTCACCCCCAAAGCGACCCCATTTTATCTTTATCACCATCCATCATCCGTGGCACACTAATAGACAATAAAGGGCAAAAGCTAGCAAAAGGTCTCACCTATAATGAATTAGGTAGAATTTTGTCGAGATCTTGATTTGAAGGTTGAAAATACATGCTACTGTTTGAATTTTAAACTTTTTTTTGTAAATCAAATTGAGATGAAATTTTAGTCATTTATATTAAAAAATAGGGTGCACAAGAAAAAAATTATAAAACAAATAATTTTCAAAATTAGAAATGACCTAAATACCCCGAATACATAAGGGAGTAATTTGGTAATCTTAATTTATTAAAAATACTTTTTTATATTTTTATATGGTGCACAATGGTGTTAAATATGTCATCTAAAATTTCATCTTAATATTAATTGTAGAAAAGAATTAAACTTTAAATAGTGACATATGTTTTCTACTATCCAATCAAAGATTTGACCGTTGGGGTTTCACTTATATTACTATTCATGATAGGTGCCACCTTTTGATGGCCTTTTCCATGACGAAGTAGTTCATGAGTCTAGAGACGCATTCCACAATAGCGTCCCCCGACGCACTAAACATCCATCTACAAGATGCATGTTAGAAAATGGTTGTCCTATTTGTCAAAAAATAAATAAAAGTGGTTATCCCATCTAAGTTTCAAATTGACAGTGTTAAAAGTACCCAAAATTTTCAATCATTTATTTTTAAAATTTACATTTTTTTCAAATTTGTATTCATCATGGTTCACATTTTCATTACTTAAATTTTTAAATAGATTTTGGGGAGAGACCGCATTTAAATAGATTAGTTGGCCGACTCATTGAAATCTTCTCTCTCTCTTTCTCCCTCTCATGTACATATAAATATTACAAAAAAAAAAAAAAAATAGACATAGGAAAACCTAATGGCTCTGGACTGAACTTGTATAGCATTTTACTCTACTTCCCAACCATTTGATCTCCATTGGACGATTGAGAATGTGTATTTCTTTTAAAACTTTAATTAACGTTTTTTATACATCAAATTAAGCTAAATCATGCATGTGTGTACTTCTTAGCGGCACACACATGAAAATATGAAGAAAATCTCTAAAAAAATAAAATGACCAAAATACTTATGCTATACGTTGAGAGAATTTTGGCTATTTTATTTTTAAGAATTAATTTTGTGTATTTTACGTTCCTGAAAATAAGGCTGACACACTCTCAGGCATTCAACCTAATGTGATTTGTTAAAAATAAGTAAATAAATAAATAATTGAGTAGCACACAATCTCAACCTTCCGATAGATGGATAGATGGAGGTAGACTTAATTATTGGAAGAATTGGGTATCGATCTAGTAGTAGCTTTTTTTCACGCATACACATACACATACATTATGACCATACATTTTCCATGGTCATTATAGCATACTTTTCCACAATTGAGATTGAAGCACTAATACAGAAGGAAGATCTAAAACGAACAGGATATATCGGATTGCTGCATTATCTCATGACTATTTACGTGGGTACAGTGGTGAAATTATGGTCACTCGGCATTATTGAATAGATAGTCTAAATGTACCTAGTGCTAGGATCATTGGAATTGGTGATTAGTGCTAATGCTTTATGCATATTTCTTAATAATCATCTAAAATGGTAGGAAATCTTTTCCAATGTGTCTCAGGTGAAGGGACTTCCATTTAACAAGTACTCATGGCTAACTACCCACAACTCCTTTGCCATAATTGGGGAGAAGTCCTTACCAGGAACTACTCGCCTCTCTCCTTCGAATCAACAGGATTCCATTACCAGCCAGCTTAATGTAATGCGCACATTCCATCATTTGTGTAGTGTGCTTATTTTCCTGTATGTTCTTGATATTCGTCTATTTTTTTTTCTTTTGAGTTTGAATAATTGAAACCATTGAAAAAATTGTTAACATTGTTATCCATGTCACTTTTGTTATTCGTCTTCTTCTTTTCAGAATGGAGTGAGGGGGTTGATGCTGGATATGTATGACTTCATGAACGATATTTGGCTGTGCCACTCTTTTGGAGGCAACTGTTACAATTTCACAGCTTATGTAGGTGCTACGCAAATATAATTTGTACTTTTGACACACATGCGCGCACACAAAAAAAAAAACTAGAGATTTTGGGCTAAGAGACGGGGGTGATGATTCATAGATTTGAGACTCAAAATGAAGATTTGTGGCGCAATGGTGAACTGATGAAATCATGGTTTTAGAACTGCAGTAAAATTCTGCCGAAATTCATCCCCCACTTTCATCAAACTGAATATATTGCTAGTTTCATCAAACTGAATATACTGCTAGTTTTGCATCGAAATATCAGTCCAAATGTTCAATTTCTAAGGCATCGTCATAAGGTCATATTTTTTATGAATTTGAAGCCCATTATTCCCCAAAAATCAAAAGTTCAAGAGAAATTTGATTCATTAGTCTGAAAATATGAAAGTGTCGCCCTTAATTAAATTGACATTTACAGCAACCGGCACTCAATACCCTGAAAGAGGTGGAGGCCTTCCTGGCCGCGAACCCATCAGAGATTGTCAGCATCTTCATTGAGGACTACGTGACATCACCACAAGGTCTCACCAAGGTCTTTACTGCAGCTGACCTCAAGAAATACTGGTTTCCAGTGAATCGAATGCCAAAGAACGGAGAGGATTGGCCATTGGTCTCAGACATGATTGCTCAGAACCAGAGGCTTGTGGTTTTCACCTCGAAATCCTCCAAGGAGGCAAGCGAGGGCATTGCTTATGAGTGGAGATATCTTGTGGAAAACCAATGTAAGGATCTTTCTATACACCCACTTTGGGTCTCTTTGTTTCTTCCATTTTTATTTTGAAAACTACTAAAATCGCCGTATCATTTTTTTCCAATGGAAATTAGTATATATATAGAGAGAGAGAGAAAGAGTTTATATAAAGTTGCAACTTTAAACTATAGAATCAAAGTATATATCAAAAAATCTATCGGAAAATGCTATTTTGATGTTGAGAAACCCTTTATTGATCATCTCGACATCGAGATGTATGGATATGAAAAAAAACAGACTTCGAATCTCAAAAAGTAGTACATCTTACAACATATTATATGGAACTATCCATTTTCAAGATTTTTATGAGTTCAAAGATCTACCCGATTTGAACCATTTTCGGAGTTTAATTTTATAACTAGCTATGACATTCTTAAAACATCCTACAAAATTTTGACAGCAAAATTGCATCTTATAATCAAATTTGGAGGTGCTCCTTGTTTTGATTGTTTAAGGTTACAACTATATATATATATATATATATATATATATATATATATATGAAAGATACTACAAAATACTTATAGGCGAAAATGAATAGTAATTTCGCCTACCTCATCGCACGGTCACGATTGTCCTGTAGTGTTTCATTTTAAATTTTTTTTCTACAAATCGGAATGACTTGAAATTTGAAGCACTTACAAATTATATTTGTGTAGCACCGATAATTATATATATGCATTTAGAAATTTGTACTCATTGTAAATCATTTTTTTCTTGAAACAGTTTTTTGTGCACTGCATTAAGATTGTATGTCTGGAGATTTACTATGAGAAAACTCCATAGGGAAAACTCCGTAAGCAAATGGAAAAATAATAAGTTGGGAAAATTTTATGATGATGTCATAACCTTTTCGCAATTTTAAAAAAAGTTATTTGGAAATTATGCTATTTCTGAAATGTTAGGATGATGTCATGACCTCTTTGCAATTTAAAAAAAAAAACTATTTGGAAGTTATAGTATTTCTGAAATGTTATGATTATTTTGTGAAATAAATGGAAATTTTTATTGTTGTGGTACACATAATATTCCACGTCTAGCATAAGTACCAATCCTTCTATCCATGGATATGAACCATCAAATTGATCAATCAATGACTGCAATCAATCAAATTTCGCATTGAAGTTTACTCATATTTGAAAAAAATTACCCAACACTTTCTATGGAAGTTCAACAATTTTCCCAGAATATTGGAACAACTGCAGCAAAAATGTAGGGCAATTATGGGTGTGAAATGATGTGCACCCTTTACATTTTGATTATTACGTCCAGAATATGCCCAAGGGGAGTTTACTTTATGGAAAAGTACACAATAAGACCACTTACTTTTGATATAAGGATTCACCGTCATTGCTCATGTGTGTCATTGATCAGGCTCAAACTTCATAAATAAAATTTTGAAACTTCATGAGGTATCCTAAGTGGTCTAATTTTACATCTACAGTTGACAATGATTGTGGTCTCCTTATACCAAAATAATTGATCTTGCAGTATATAATCCCTAGTGCATTTGTTTCCCATTTTCACCTCCGTACTTTTAGGAAATTTACACCCTGCTTTGTGCCTTGTTAGTTCCAAGAATTTTACCAATTCCCTTCAACCACTGAAAGCTTGAAATCTTTAATCAGATTCTGAATTTGGAGAGCTTTGCAAGTTAATTTATGGACTATCGTTATGCTGATTTAAACTTCAAGATTTGGAGTTTTCTTTGTTCTTGAAATTAATTCTGATGGCCTTGTTTCCATTTGTTAAACAATGTTCTTTCAAACATTTTAACTGTGTCCTCTAGATGGTAATGGAGGAATGAAAGCGGGCTCCTGTCCAAACAGAGCTGAGTCATCCCCAATGAACACAAAAAGCAGGTCATTAGTCCTTCAAAACTATTTCCCAGACGACCCTGATCTACCTACGGCCTGTCGAGATAATTCTGCTCCCCTGATTAGCATGATGAATACTTGTTACAAAGCTGCTGGTGATCGTTGGCCTAACTTCATTGCAGTTGATTTCTACAAGGTAAAGAGCTCTCTCTTTCTCTCTCTCTCTCTCTCTCTCTCTCTCTCTCTCTACGTACCGTAACGTTACGTTTTACGTTTACGTTAGTTATTACTATTACTTAATTAATTATTTAGTAAGTAGTAAGTGTCTCTCTTGTTACTTACGTACCTAAA